ACACACACACACACACACACACACACACACACACACACACACACACACACACACACACAGATGCACTTTGTAAAGAGAGATGCTTCCTCCCTCTTTGCCTTGCACACGCACTAAGTGGTTTCAAGTGACTTGCTTCGTTCTTTGTCCTTTCCTCTCTCACTCATTGTCGCTACTTTTTTCCTCCTTCATCCAGAACTTTTTTCCAGAGCACATGGTGGCTTGGTGTCATGAGTCCGATGGTTCGATCCCTCAGGCACAGCTCTTACAGGTGAGGAAATGACAACTGAAAGTCATGCTTTCTATTCACCCACACAGAGTTCATCTACCTTTAGATGTGTGTTCCAGGATTTGTTACCTTTTTAGCACCACTTCAGGTATACACACCTACCTTGTCAGGACCAGTAGTTCTTTAGGGACCAAAGACTGGTCCTAATATGGTGGAACTCCATTGCAGGGGTCTCCAACCATTTTTTCCTTAAGAGCTACTTCCACAAAATGAAATTGTCCGAGAGCTACTTTTTACAACATTAAATTTTAAATTTAAACCATTGGAATAAGCTTGTTTTGTACAACAAACCTTGTCTTCAGTTCACATGAAACTACCACAAAGAACACTGAATTTACATGAATGTGCTTTTTCTGTTTATCCACTTACATTATATTGTATTTCACACGAACTTAGAGTTTAACTGCAGCAGATTTGTGCACAAGTAACGTCGGGTGACAGGTCTCTGAATTATTTTCCCAGTGATAAATTAAATTTAGCTTCTCCTAACTTTTCATAAGCGCTGAAGAGCTACTTTAAATGAGCTCACGAGCTACAGGTTGGAGACCCCTGGTTTAGAGGTTAGATAAGGTCTAAAAAAATCCTTCCCAACCTGTCCTGAGCCTGATCTAACCCGACTAATTAACTTTAATTAAAGTTAACCCTACATATTGTTCTAATTATCATATTTATGAGTGTTTAATGTGATTAAATAAATTAGTGCTGAGCTGTATGATGTCCAGCAGGAGGACAGAGGGAGAAATTATGATAATTTAGCCGTCCGACACAATATTTCTGTTCATTTATTGTGATAGAATCAAAGTCAGTCAAAATTTACTCTTGTGTACAAGGATTTTCTATACAAGCAGAAATACAATAAGCTTTTAATGCCTTTGTTTTTAAACTATTTGAGTTTTTTAAAAAGAATATCAGATAGGAGTGGAGCAGGGCGTGGCTACATGTGCATTAGATGTACTGAGCTTAACCTTTACACCTTACTGTGTTTCTGTCGTTCCTCAGCTAGGTAAACCACCTAGTAGATACTTTTAGTATCCTCTGTGCTGTTTGTATTGTAGGCTTATTAAAAACACAACAGAAGCCTGAGCCTGACTCGACCATCAAGCATATAATTTCGCCCCAACCCAGCACGGGCTCCAGTTCAGCTATAAATCTAAACTCTGGTTTAGGAGGCCGAACAAACAAAACAGCTTAACAACCTGCTGTCTGTAATAAGGCTTTAAAAAAAATAAATAAATACATCAAATTAAAGTGTCGTAGCTGTTTGTCAGTGATGTTTTCTCTCACTTGGATTAAACAAGCAGGTGAAAATATTGAGAATATGACCCTATATTGAGTTTAAAGAAGCAAACTTAAAGGCTTTTTGAGTCAGTTAAGAAGGAGTTCTAGTAATTTATTACTTTCAAACTACACTGATATAAAAATTTCAGCCGATATCGATATCTGATTGCTGTTATGATGCACACCCCTCGTCCAACCATCTCCCCTCCTGAAACAGAAACACAAACAGCAACAAGTGGGAAATCCATATTGAACGTTTATATCAGCCCAGTTTTACTTATTGGACTGATACTGGTGTTGATGCTGATACATCATGTATCCCTACCTTAGACTCTTTGTCCTCCTGCTGGCACCAGCTGTAAATGGCTTTTGTATTTTATCAGTAGTACACGATACCACCATGACATGTGAAGTGTAAAACACAAAGTATTACAATAAACCACAAGTCTATTTTCTAAATGTTGCACTTTGAAAATAAATCTCTTGTTAAAGTAACGTCTCATCACAGCCAGGCACACGTGTCACAGTAGCTGTGTTTCCACTGACTGTGAAAATGCGCAAATTAGAATTTGGAAAATAAATTTGCTCAATGGAAACACGTCAGTTTTGAAAAAAATTACGTTTTTCGACAAAATGTTTTTGCGCTAGGATGAGGTGGTATTTCAGCCGTATCGAAATTGGTGTTTTTCGCAAAACTGCAATGGAAACACTTTTTTCGCATCCTGGGAGTCACGTGATCTACAACCGGCAGTTTCTACTGGTGAAAAAGACGATGACAAAGAAGATAACAGGAAGTAGAAGTAGTAATAATATCACAGAAGTAGTATAAAATAGTAAACTCACCAACTACAATTTCCCAAAAACACAGCATACGTAGCCACTCCCAGGTAGGGACTTGTTGCTGGAAAGCCTCGATAAAAGACGCCGACGTCTCCTCTGATGATGAGCGCTAGTGTCGTGGTAGCAACATGCTATGTGTTTACATCCATTGCCACCATGTTTGTAATGACTTATCGCGAGAACAAACTTATTCACGTGTGACTTTAATAGCATTTCTTAATGGAAACACCGCAGTTGTGAAACTGTTTTTTTCGACATTAACAGAATATCGACAAAGTTTTGTGCACATTTGCAATGGAAATGCAGCTAGTGAGGTGCAGAAGTATTGACACCCCCATTATGTTTTTTCCTTGGTGGCTTTACAACTTGGAATTTAATTATTGTTTTATTTTGATTCAAAGCAATAATCTTCTGTCTTTAAATGTTGGTGCTTGGTGGTAGAAGTCTGCCTCTGTTTCATTGTTTTTGTTTTTTTTCCAGAACTTTCTGAACTCCAGCAGCTGTCCTGAGATTCAGGGTTTTCTTTACGTCAAGGAGCCTGGAAGAAAGTCGTGGAAGAAGCTCTACATGTTGCTGCGCCGCTCCGGCCTCTACTACTCAACTAAAGGAACGTCCAAGGTGACCAGTGATAAAACATGAAGCAGCAAACGCTTTGATGTTGCACAGATTCAGTTCAAGGTTGTTTTTAACAGAACTGAAGCTTCGTGTTTCATCTGCTCCTCTTCAACAGGAACCCAGACACCTGCAGCTGCTCTCAGATCTGGAGGACAGCAACATCTTCACCATCATCACAGGCAGGAAACTTCACAACGCACCAACAGATTACCAGTTCTGCATCAAGGTGAAACATGCACACTGATTATAGTCATCATTTTATACAAACCTCTGGTTTAACAGAGGGAATAAAGTCAATAAATCAAAGTAGAGCCGCTCATATTTTTACGTTTATTAATTTACCTGCTTATAGGATGTTCACACTGTAGGTCCTAATGCTCAGAAATATTTGAAGAAATAAGAAAGATGAAGTTTTCTTTGAGTTCTCAGCTGCAGGTTTGATGCTGGACGTAGGATTGGTTCACATGAGATATTTTCAAACTGAACCCAAACAAAGCAAAGGCTTCAGGGAAAATGAAACACAGAAACCCTAAAAAGAGGAACGTGTTTGATAATAGTTTTATTAATGATCCACTTGCTTCTTCAGTCCAGCTCATGGTGCGTTTGAAGGTTAAACCATCAACAGCTGCCTGATTGTTTCTCATTATCTGAA